CCAAGTAAACAGTTATGGGGCTATGGCCCTCCGGCCCTCCCCCTTTGCTCCAGTTACTTGGTTAGGGCTGGAACACCTTTGTCCAGAAATTTGGGCCAGGCAGCTAGACTCTACCTAGCAGCTCTAGTAAGTATCTAATCACAGACTCACCGAGCACTAGGACTGGAAGGGACCTCGAGAGGCATCAAGTCCAGGCCCCTGCCCTCCCGGCAGGACCCAGCACCATCTAGACCAGTGTTTCTCAACCAGTGGTGCAAATCCCCTTAGGGGTGCCCGAGAGAAGTCTGGAGGGTACGTCAACACAACTAAAATTTGGAGAACTGAATTTTTGTGTTAAGTTTTACAGCACTTTGTTCTTTTTGTACTTTTACACCCAACAATTTCACTGCCCACCTATCCGCCTCCCATTAAGATGTTTAAACGAATGTGTTGCAGTGGTAGGAAAAAAAAAGGGTGTGTCTGAAAACTGTAGGTGCTGCAGGTACTTATAATTTTTTAAAGGGGTACTTTATAAAAAAAAAAGGGTGAGAGACACTGGTCTAGCCCATCCCTGGCAGGTGTCTGTCTAACCTGCTCTGAAATATCCCCAGTGGTGGAGATTCCACAACCTCCCTGGGCAATTTATCCCAGTGTTTCACCACCCTGACAGGCAGGAAGTTTTTCCTAATGTCCAACCTAAACCTCCCTGGCTGCAGTTGAAGCCCGTTGCTGCTTGTCCTGCCCTCAGAGGCCAAGGAGAGCCTCTGGCAGGAGGTGGAGCAGCCATGGGACCTGAATTCCCTCAAGGCAGGGCTTAGAGCAGGGTGGGGAACCTTTTTTGGGTTGGGGACAGCTGAGCCACAGAAAAATCAGTCGGGGGCTACACACAAGTGAGAAGCAAAGAAAACCCCAAACCCTCCCGGACGAGACCCATGACTGAGGAGGAGAGAGACCCTCCCGCGTTCCCCTCGCACGCCAGAGCCTCAGGGGTGCCGCCTGGTAGATTGTGTGTGCTCCAGCCCCATGAGAGGACTGTAGAAGGGCTGGAGTGCCAGGAGCTCTGAGCCTCAGGGGCCAGATCCAGGCAAGTTGGGGGCCATGGATTCCCCACCCTTGGTTTAGGCCAGTGGTTCCCAAACTTTTCGGCATCACGACCCCTTTTTGATTTTTGAAAAACCCTCACGCCCCCCACCAGCAAAACAAACACAAAAAGAGCAAAACTTGATGGGGGCGTGGCTGGGTTGCCTCGCGCGCCCCCTGGAATGTCTTCAGGCCCCCAGTTTGGGAACCCATGCTTTCGGCTCTGGCATTTGGGGGTGGTGTGGCTTATTGGCTCTGTTCCGGGATTTAATCAAACCTGCACCAGCTGGTGCGTCGCTCTCCCGGAGCTGGTGGCCTGTGCAGAGGATCCGGCCCTGAGGCTGATATTCTAAAACCCAAAACCCCAGGAGCCTGAGCATTTCTCTCTCAGAACAGCTCTTGCCCTGTGTTGCTACCCAAGGAATCGCTCCACGTGGCGCAGGGCCTGGCCTCCCTGTGTGTCTGTTACCATGATCCCTGTGCTCTCCGAAATCAAACATGGGCAAGCGCGTCCAAATGACCTCGCTCTGCATCCTTTGTACCGCCGCCGGCTGGCTGAGCCGAGTCCCGGGGCTGTGCAGTAGGTGGGATGTGCTGCCTCCCCTCCTCGCCCTGGGCAAGCTGTGTTGCTCCTTAACCCTCTGTGCGCAGGTACACGGAGGCCGATATCATCCCGTGCACCGGGGAAGAGCCGGGCGAAGCCAAAGAGCGGGAGGCTCTCCGCGGCGCCGTCTTAAAGTAAGTGCGGGGCATCGGGTTCACCGTGCTGGCCAGGCGTGAGCCGAGGGGGGAATCCCTGTTCGGTCAAGCGGCCGTGACCCCGCCCGGGACAGGCAAACCACGCCAGGCAGACAACAAAGTGGCTGTTCACAGGGGCCTGGGGCTGGTTTCTAGCCCTCGGCCCTGCGTGGGAATAGGGCTTCAGTTCCCCGTCTCTCTGACTGCGTGATGCTGGGAGGCCCCGGCTGAGGGACGGATAGCGCAGTGAAAGGAAGCTTTCCAGCTGCTTAGCCTGCCGCAGAGGATGCCTTGACATTCGGTTCCTCTCTAGACACACGGGATTGGCTCTGCAGGATCACACGGTTGGCCGGTCGGCGCTTTGCCTTCGGCAGTGGCCAAACCCTGTGTGGCAGAATGAGGTAGAAGCAGCCCCCTCGCCAGAGGGGCAGGTGGTCCTATGGGGCTGGGGGCCTGCAGACAGTTGTCGGGTGTGGGCTGGGGGCAGAGCGACCCCTGGTACCTACGAGGTGACGTTCCTACATGCTCTGCGTTGCCTTGTGGCCCCGGATCCCCTCGCCCGCTCATTTGCCCAGCTGTAAGAGGGGGGCGATTGTACTTAATCTCTGCAAAGTGCTTTGAAATTCCGGCCCAGGGTCTGGAGAAAGGCAGAGTCTGATGATTAGCTCCTGCCCGGAAGCCGGAGGCTAGACGACCCTTTTAGTGTAACCCGTGTAGCGCCAGGAGCTGACAATGTCACGCAGGGAGCACGATGACCCAGGCTCCTTTCAGATGTCTCCTGTGCTGTTGCCTCCTCGATGAATCTCTGCAAAGTGCTTTGAAATTCCGGCCCAGGGTCTGGAGAAAGGCAGAGTCTGATGATTAGCTCCTGCCCGGAAGCCGGAGGCTAGACGACCCTTTTAGTGTAACCCGTGTAGCGCCAGGAGCTGACAATGTCACGCAGGGAGCACGATGACCCAGGCTCCTTTCAGATGTCTCCTGTGCTGTTGCCTCCTCGATGCGACGGGCTCCCGCGTCACGGGCCACGACCGCAGCCTCTCCGCCTT